AGATTTCTAGTTTGATTTCTTTAAAAGCACAATTTTTTTTCTTTCTTTTTTTTTCTTTTTTTTTTTAAAAAAATTAAAAAGACTTACTATAAAAGAGCAATACCCCTGGCCGGACTCTAGCCCGAGTCCGACAACTCCTGCCGCGTTTCCCCCGCCTATCGCCAGAGGAGCGCGTGCGGACAGGAGACCCTCTCGAGAGCCGCCGACGCACGTGAAAGAGCGGAACGGGCCATGGAAACCAGCCACGGGGAAGAATAAAACTCCCCGGGACACCAGGGAATTAAAAACCACTGCCGGGTGGCGGGCAGCTCGCCTGCCTCCTGCCCCTCCGCAGAGCTGTCAGGCGGGGAACGTCATCTGCTTCCGAGCAGGTTGGACAGTCAATTTAAAAACGAGCTCGCCACAGCGGCGTATTAAAAAATAGAGCGTTTATACGTAAATCAAGGCAGAGACAGAACAGAGTAGACGGAACAGTCTGCAGTTTCACAGGGGACATAAAATTTGATATTTTTCCCAATTATAAATGTACAATCTAGAGGCTAAAAGAAGAGAGTGAGAAATCCTCTGCCCCAAGGCAACGGAGAGGAATGCCCACGCGGCCGGGAGGAGCCGAGGCGGCGCAGCGAGGCAGATCACCTTACACCGTCCACGCGTACCATAATCACTAAACACAGGGCACTTTTTCTCGGGCGTAATCGGCTGTTTGCTTGGTTTGGTTTTTTTTTTCCTCCAAGAAAATCTGTAAAGGGAGAAATTACAAAAAAAAAAGGGGGGAGGGGGGGAAGGAAAAAGAAAGCAGGCAGCTCTCTACACTCCCTCTCTCACTGGGATTGGCCGAGTTGTTCACGTCTTCAACAAGTATGGGTATTACAAAAGGTTAGAAAGAGTGGATATAGACTAGCTTTTACTCCTGATTTTATTTTTCTGCTTTCTTTTTTAAGTAGTCTGAAGTGGCTGAGAGAATCCTCCCTCATTGGCAAAGTCAATAGGAGCTGGTTGTAGTCAGTGGGAAGTCCAGACTGTTTGTTGTTTGGTCGTAAGAGACAAACAGTGCTAGATTATTTTGCTTCTGTTTTTGGGGGGAAAAGGGGCGAGTGTGTGTGAATTGGGTGCTACATGGAGGGAGCGGGAGCTGCTCAGTCGCCAGCCTCGTTCTCTTCCGCCGTCTCTCCCGTGGTGGCGTTCTCTGCGTTCTTGGAGGCCTGCGGAAACAAACCCACGGCAGCCGTCAGAACGGGGGCTCGCGTGGGGACCACGCACGGCCGCAACGCTGGCAGCGGGTACGAGGCAGCCCACCCGAGGGACCAAGAGGAGGCCCCTTCCCAGGAGGCTGCTGCTTCCCCAGGGCGCTGGTTTTGGTTGGGGTAGAGTCGATTTTCTTCACAGGAGCTGGTATGGGGCATGTTTTGGATTTGTGCTGGAAACAGTGTTGGTAACACAGGGATGTTTTCGTTCCTGCTGAGCAGTGCTGACACACAGTCAAGGCCTTTTCTGCTCCTCACCCCACCCCACCAGCGAGCAGGCTGGGGGGGCACGAGAAGTTGGGAGGGGACACAGCCGGGACAGCTGACCCCAACTGACCCAAGGGATATCCCACACCATATGACGTCATGCTCAGCATTTAAAGCTGGGGGAAGAAGGAGGAAGGGGGGGACGTTCGGGGTGATGGCGTTTGTCTTCCCAAGTCACCGTTAGGCGTGATGGAGCCCTGCTTTCCTGGGGATGGCTGAACACCTGCCTGCCCATGGGAAGCAGTGAATGAATTCCTTGTTTTGCTTTGCTTGCGCACGCGGCTTTTGCTTTACCTATTGAACTGTCTTTATCTCAGCCCACAAGTTTTCTCACTTTTACCCTTCCGATTCTCTCCCCCATCCCACCGGGGGGGAGTGAGCGAGCGGCTGTCTGGGGCTGAGCTGCCGGCTGGGGTTAACCCGAGCCAGGGGAACACCAGGGTGTTCCCTAAGGCAGGCTGGGAGGCGAGCCCAAAACGCGACCACGCAGGACCCATTTGGGCGCTGCCGATTGCAAAAGAGAACGTGCCACTAATCCCCACAAAACGTGGCCAAATTACCTTCTTTTTCTTCTTTTTCTGGGTCTTCCGGCTTGCAGAACTTTGTAGAAGGGCCTGGAGACAGGAAGGAAACATAAGAAGCCAGAAAGCAGACTCCTTTTTTTGACAGCAGATAAAGAGAAACGCCTTTAAAGCAGAACGAGCACCGCCAGCCACCGAAGGAACGGTGGTTAAGTCCTAAGGGGCACAGTGATAGATGGGGAACGCCACAGCCTCACACCCTGCCGAGGCACGAGGCCTTGGAGCCAGCTGTTGACTTCTCAGCCACCCCTAGGAAAGGGCTGGGTGTCGTTACCGAGCCACCAGAGCTGGTGCTTGATGCAGGAAACAGGGACCCAACCTGGTCTTAAGCAAATCTTTTCCTTTTTAAGCTCACGCCTCAGCTCCTACCCTGCAGAGTCTTCCGGATTTACTTCCCGCCTTCACCCCGAGGGATGCAAAGACAGGGTGACCCATGCGATGTGCAACGTCTATTTATTATTATTTTTAAACCAACCTTCAGTTCTCCATCTTGCACCTCAAACTCCGACTTGTAGAGTTCCGGTTCAAAGGGGCCGCTGGTTATCCTCATGGGACCGTTAGGCATTAAAAGCACTGTGAATTTGAACTGTGCAACGAACTCTCCTGCAAGACAGAAACGGGCGCTACTACACCACAGCCCCCGCGTATCCGACCCACTAGGTATCTCGGCAGATGTTTCCAACCAGATGATTCGACTCCCGTGCCATTCCCACACCGTCACTGCTAAAAAAACATCTCGCAGGAACTTCTTAAACCTAACACGGCCAGGGCAAAAACAATTCCTTCAGCACCACACCCCCAAGCCTGCTCTGTAAGCAAGCCAGAGAGCCTCAGCCATCAATCTCTCCTCCTGCCCAGGAAACTACTCCACAAAAAATTTCATCTCATCACTGGAACGACTCCAAAACAAGATCCAGAAGCCAACGGGTAGCGAGCTTCCCGGAGGATAAATACCAGGGCCCTTGAAGCGCACCTCTGGTATTTATACAGCGACAGAGTCAGCACCGGTCTCGCCAGACTCCGGAAGCGAGCGACGGTTGTCTGCTGAGCGCCCGGTCCACACCCGGCTCCCAGTCCTCCCACCGCCAGCACTCACCTTCCTTTTCGTAGAGGACATTGAAAGGCTGGAGCAGCTCGTGTTTGGCGCATTCCACCACCCCCATCCTGGCCTTCTTCTCATCCTCAAATGCCCTGCGGAGGAGACAGAGCCACACCTGAGCTCAGGCCCTTTCCCAGAAGCCAGGTTCCACCCCACAGGTTTCAGAATTGCCCCCGGGGTCAGGCTGGAGACTTTATTCACTTGCATCCCCCTCGCCCTGGCAGCGTCGTGGTGCAGTGACAAAGCAGATGGCCAGAGCAGGCAACTGCCGGCTGAACTGTTACCTCCAGAGACTGGAAAAGGCAAGTGGATTTAAGGATGAAGAGAGCCTGTCAAGCGAACGCTGTTTCCTTAGTTTGAGAGTGCATCACTTACAAAAATTGATTGGAATTGCCTCGCCTCTGCATGCTGCACCCTGACACTGCTTTCACCCCTCTCTGTTTTATTTTAAACGCGATTCCCAGCTCCCCACCTGCCACACGAAGCACAGGAGATTCTCAAATCCTCGGGCTCTGCCTGGGATTCCTGCTTAAGCCCGTAACATCCTTCCTCCACCCACTCCTAGGCTCAAATACAGCAAAGCCCAACGTAAAGCAGCAAAGGCTGCCTCCTCCCCTGTGACAGGACGGTGAAGCAAGTCGGTTTTGCTGCCAGCATGGTCTGTAAGCTCACGCAAAGCATCGAGCTCTGAACGCGCAGGGAGGCCATGAGTAAGAGCAAATACCTGAGAGTAAATGGCATAGTATCAAAGCGCCTCTCCACCTCACTGAAAAAGGCACGGGAGGTTTTCATCTTCAAGCCATACTGTTTGGAGGGGTCCCTTTTGTAAATTGTAGTTCTCTGTCCAGCATCCTTTGCCTGAAAATGCAAACAGAGCTGAGAGACCAGGAAAGCAGCGCAACGCTTCCTCAGCCAGATTAGCCAACCGCCTGCATGCGCCGGGGCGTTCACATCGGACAAGCACCGTCCGTACTCCAGCACTGTAAAGGCGCACCTCAACTTTTTGGATGGAAGAAGTTCCACCCAAAAAGACACAGTGATACCCAGGCAACAAGTATTCCCCGGCTGGAACTGGCACCCACAAGGATGTGGCTGTTAGCACCACTTGCTGCTGCCGACTGTTCTGAAACGCGGCCGCTTTGACCACACGCACAGAGGAACAGCAGGGCAAGAAGCACCGGACTCACCTTTCCCTCTCCACTGCTGACGAGAACATCAACAGCGTAAACTTCATGGACCTCAAATTCTGCTTTTTCATGGTCCTTCCTGGATGAAAAGAAGTTTGGTGAGTCAAAGAATGGTAAATAGAGAAGACAAAACCTCCTACACAGCCACAGTACCTCAGACAAGCCCACACCGGGCTTAGCCAGCGAAGGTCTGCAAGTGCAAAGTGGTGCTACAGTGACCAGGTCCCTGACCAGAAGAGCAAAAGCTGGCACGAAGGACGAAGTGGAAGATTAACAAGCCAGGCAGCAGAGCTGATCAGTGACAGGCTGGCAGAGAAAAACGACGACAAGCCAGTGCTCCTCCTGCCCGTGACAAGTAGCTCCATCCCCGGTAAAGGGTGGGAGGTCTCTTAGACATTCAGCACCAGCCCTTTGAACTTGCGGTCACGTCCTAGGCAGGCCAAGAGCCCCACCACGCCTGGTACATTGCTACGCCCGAGAACTTGCAGGCCAAGTGCTGGATTTAAAGCCACTGAGCTCCAAATAGCCAGCGTGAGACCCAACCCCGAGGGATCCCTGAGGGAGAGGAGCTGCTGGAACAGAACGGAATGACATATCCAGCTCATTAGCTCCAAACCATCCTGAGATGCTATTGACAGCGATCACCATCCAGTGGGCTCCTGGCAACTTCTGCGAGACAAACGACAGGTCTTGGCACAGCTCCTGGTGAATTAGCATCCACCGCTACAACTAGCAACAGTTGGTTATTTTGCTGGCAGCCTCCAGCAGACTCCTTCGAGAAACTGGACAGAAACCAAGAACGCTCGCAGGTGCCAGCGAGGAGCCTCGTGTCCGTGACTTCCAGCCTTTCTTTCTCAGAACAACCCCCAAACGCAGAGCCACGCTTCACGTTCACACAGAACGGACAATAAGATATGGGGCTAACAAGCTACGAATTTGCCGTACTGGGTCAGACTTCAAGAGGCCATACAGGGAGCAGTCTATACCCCAGTTAAATTAAACATACCTGCTACATCCCCCACTTGATACCGCAGCGAGAAACGGGGTCACCATTCTGGACCTAGTCACACCCCTCCCAAATGCTGCTGGAAGCAGCAGCCCCAGAGGTGATGCTCACTTTTGCTGGTCTGTAGGGTTCTGGATGATTGTTTTCTCTCCATCGATCACATGCTGTTTCAGCTGGTGCGACAGCATCCCTGCCGCGATAAGAGAATCCATTAACACCTCTGAGCTGCAAACCAGCGACACAGTGACTTGCATTATTAACACTCCGGGGCCCGGGACCGCAGCCCTCAGCTAGAGCGAGCCGTAAAGCAAACGGTCACCGGCGTTAGCACTTCCTCAGCTTCCCTCAGTCGCGGACCGCCAAGTGCATTAGCACAGACACGGAGCTCCCCAAAGCCCACTCTGACTTCAGCAACGCTTCCTCGCCAGCGAGGAGGAGCTGCAAGCTCCCGCGAGAGGAGCGGCCAGCTGCCGAGCCCTTTCCAGTACCGCCGCTTCTTGACTAGGCACGTGCACTACACCAGCGGGCTGTAACGGGCTGGAGGTGAACCCGCAGGCACGTGCGACCCACCCTCGGGTGTTTTCAAAGATGCCAAATTAATGGAAACTTTCAGTCCTTTCCCCAGTACCTCGGCTGTACAGCACTCAAAGGGTATTTTTTTGGGGAGGGGGGTTGCTTCACTTTTCCCTTCTGCCCTACAGTTCACCTTCAAATTGAAGTCTAGGAAGAGGTACTCGCGGCCATTCCTGTTCCGCTCCCCGAGCCCCCAGCCCAGCAGGGACAGTCGCACGTCTCCGTTCAGGAAGGACGGCTGCTGCTGGCGGGAAGGGAACGCACAACCCCAGCCGCCAACAGCTCCGTTTGTTTTCATCAACTGGGGCCTTATGCTGCTGCCAGTGCCTAGATAATTACGGCACTTGACTGTTTCCAAAACAGTGGCTGCTTAAACTCCCTTGACAGTGCGAGCGGCCGCCTCCTCACTGCAGCTGATGCCATGTTTTTTCACAGAGAAAGGAGCAAAGCATTGAGGAGACCCACAAAGCCATCCCACACAAGGAACAGGGAACCGATGTTCCGAGACTGGGCTAAGGCGAGCGAAGAGAACGAGCCAGCTTTAGGGTATTTCAGGAAATTTAACTAATAATGGACCAATTTAATTGTGGCTGAAAGAACCATTTGACAGTGATGTCACCGATTAGGAGAAAAGCATCTGCGTGTGCCAAATGTCAGGCTAAGCTCTCTCGCCACCTTTCAGACAAGAAGCCAGTGGTCTCATTTCTACCAGAAGCCACCCCAGAGCCTTCCCACTCGCCCCTTTATCAACGCTGCGAAGAGAACGTGAATCAGTTTAGAGCTGTAAGGAAGGAAATTACATACCCTGCACATCTACGGGCTTCTTTTGCAGTGGCCCTTGCATTACAAACAAGCTCTGTTATGTATTCGCTAAAGGGGTTTTAACTACGAGTGGTCAAGTGTGAAAGCAAAGGGCCACGCGATTTGCCCAAGGTCAGCAGGAAGTCCACGAGCCAGGACACTACCTACCAGCTGTGGAAGCCCACGTCTATTGTTCCTAGATTAATGCATCTTTAAGAATAAAAAGAAAAAAATAGAGGAAGGAAGAAGAATCTAGAGAGTTTTGAAGGGATTTTTTTTTTTAGCCGAGGCCACTGCATTTAAAGATGGCACGTCTAGGACTCATAGTCATTAAAAGTTTCCCAGAATTTGAATAGGGCAGCTCAGGATTTAGCGTGCAGCTAAAACGCCGCTACCTCCGATCAGCTGCTCCCCCGTCCTTACCTTCAATCGGCGTGCAGTGAAACGAGTGGGCTATTTTGTTCCATGCGTCTGTCACTTGTGTGTTCTGGATGAAGAACACATGAAAACACATTAAGGATGTAACATTCAAGCCACAAGCATGACAGGTTTTTTTAACTCGACAGCGTTCTGTAATAAAACCAGCAGGTTTTCTAACCGACTGGTGCTCTAACACCTCCAAGAAAAGGAGAAACGGTGTCAGGCTTCCATTTTTAATCCTGTATCGACAAAACCAACATGTAACATGAGGTCAGCTCAGCCTCCCGTGCTGCACCCAGTGCCTTCTCACAAGCCATCCCTCTTTAAGGGATTTCAGCAGGAGCCAAGAGCGACACGAGTATGTTTGGAATAGTGACACAGCGACAAAAGAGATCGCCTACGACTGCTGCGGCGCCCGAGCACCAGGCGAGGGAGAGGTCCAAGTGGGAGATTTAAGGGAGCACTCTTTGGCGGAGTTGCTGTGCGTGCCCAGCTGCCTTCAGCGAGGAAAGGACCGGCAAGTAGGAGCACCGAGGCTCCTCTGCAAAGCCACCGTCGCACAAGGAAGAGCTCGGGTCCCGCAGGGAAGCCAGAGCTGCTGACAGAAGAGTCACTGCCACCCGCCCCAGCATCCGGTGCTCACCCCAGCAGCAGCTCAGCTGTCTGCAGACAGCTGCTTCCAGATTCCCCACATCGCTGGGCAAGGACACACGCTTTTATTTCTGCGCACGAAGTGTGGCACAGGCAGCGTCTGCACTTGAGCTCCTCGCCCCGTGCCCAGACATACCTTCCCCCGTATCAGTCACTCACCTGGTTTCCAGGCTTTACCAAGCGCAGAGCAGCTTCAGCACAGAGATGAGCTGCCTTGATGACATCAGCTTTACGGCCTGACACAGGGTTTTCCTGGAAGAAGAGAAAAATAAAGGCTTTTTAAGGTACGTTTCCTGCCCTCTTATTAGCAAGAACGCTGTTCTGAGTGTCTACAGATGGAGATTCTCCGTCGAACCAGACACCCTCCCCCCGAGTGAACGGGGAAATCTAGCTCAGAGGTGGAAGGGCTTCTGGCTCCACAGCTCGATCATTAGTCTCTCCTCCATTAAAAGAACAGATGAGTATCAGCCACAACCAAATTGCCTCTCTCACGAGTTTCAACAGAGGCACCCTAGTACCAGCGCATCACTCTCAAAGACTGAAAACAGAACAAGACTCTCCTGTAGCCAGAAATGTGGACCGGAAAGGATTTCAATACACTTCAAAAAGACTGGGTTTTTTTTTGTCTTCTCCCCATCAAGTCGTTCAGACACAGCCACTGGAGAAAAACCATTCCCAAGACCCCACACCGCCACCCTCCTCCCAGGACTACAGCTAAAAATTTGTTCCGAGCTTACGCGACAACTTTACGCACACAACAGTAACTGCCACCGCATGAGCGTGGCTTAGTGTCACTTCCAAAATGCCCGACCAAGCCACGCGTGCCACGGCGGTGTCCTCGCCAACACGTGCCAGGGCTGTATGCTGCGATCAGCCCTGAGTGAGAAAAGTCCGTGCTGGCGTGTTCAGGCAGGAGAAGCGGGCAGCAGGGACTAGTTTTGGGGTCCGAAGAACAAGTCGCCCCTGAGCTCAGTTTGCAAAGGTGAAGGCAGCGACTCCCAGCAGCGCGGCGCTCGGCTCCCTGTCCCTCGGCCAGTAGAGGGGGCAGCAAAACCAGTCTGCCCAGTCCGCCCCGCGGCCCCAGACACTCTACATGCGAATAACTCACTGCAGCGCCACTCACACCGGGTTTGTCTCAAGTTATTTGTAACCTTGCAAAATTGTACACGTTGAAACAGCGTGTCAGCCCTCATTTTCCAGAGGACTGAATAGTTTTTAGGAAAGGGACGGTTTTCACCCTGTCACTGCTGTGACACCAGACCTGCGGCGCTTCTGCGAAACAAAGCGGACGCCTCTCCGAGGCCCCGTGCCGCTGCTGCCTTTGGAACCAGGGGCACCCCAACATCAGCTTTTAGCCTCTCCTTTAGGCTGCACGTACAGCAGCAGCGGCAAGAGGCACCGCTCCATCGCAAACCTACCTTTGAGGCGTCTATGACAAAACTGTGTGCTACATTCGCTATGAAGCCATCGACATGGACTCCCAAGTCACTGCAACACAAAGAGAGTTAATTACAGGTGGGGCGTCACAGCTCAGGAAACTTGTGTGACTTCTAGAAGTACCAGAAGACTCAAGCATGTTTCAAGCGCTTCACTTGACTAGCTATTAGATTCTTTAATTAGCCACGCCGAGGAAGTATTTAACACATCAAGCAGGATTAGAAAGCAAAGCCCAGATGCCAACAGTAAACCCACAAGAAGTATAACCAAGACGCTTACATTTTGACCAAGTCTCCGTCTTTGAGGATGTAGTCTTGGTCACTCTTCAGGGGGGAGAAGTGACAGACACAGTTATTTACCGATATACTCGTTGGGAAGGCAATACCTACAAAGGGAAAAAGAACATTCCATGAAATTGTGCAGCCTCACGCCCGGCACAGGCAGCAGCCCCGCCACTGCGGGTCGTCACTCGGGGTTTTGAAGCGCTGTAAAATGCCCCATGACACAAGTCTCTAGCCAAAGAGCCACGAGGAACGCAGCGCGTGGTCTGCTCCCGCACCGGCTCTCCTTTCGCCCAGGCAACGGCCAAAGAAATACATCCAAGGCGGTGAGACACCTGCAAAAGGGACCTCAAGTCTCCAGAACAGAAATCAGGGAGCTCTGGGTGACACACTCGAGTGTCACACAATTTCCACGGCAGCTACAGACCAGCGATAGATAACCGTACCGCAGCTCTTCCTGAAGGGAGGACACTGAAACAAGAGTTACTTTGGACAACAACGTGGATGACTGGGTGCATTGAAACGGGAAGCTGAGGTTCATCAGTGATGCTTACTTACCAGCAGGCCAGGCAGGAGGATTTGGGTTAAAATTGGCTTTCTGGGAACAGCAAACTATTTCTTACACTAATTAGCACAGAGTAGCGCCTTCTGTGCTCTTGCCCATTCACACCAGCCACCCAGCGGGACCAAAAACCATGGCCACGCTGAAAAAAACTCTTTGGAGCAGGCCTCACCTTTTTTCATTTCTTTTTCCTTCTTGAAAATCTTGCCAGTCTCTTCCATGATCATGGCATCTCCCTTCTCGCACAGGCAGAGAACCGATGCTCCGGAGTTCGCCTCTTCGACCACTGCACGCAGGACCCCTTGATTCAAACACAAGACACGGAGCTGTTGAAGCATGTTAACGATAAACAGCCTTAAATCTAACACCAACCCGCATCACACGGCACCGTGGCGGAAAGATCTGTTTGTTTCCCCGAGAGGGAACAAGGCTCTGGACTCAGCTCTTCACCAAAAGGACCGTGGACAGGCAGAAATCCCACTTTAATTTTCACTTTGTTTTCAAGAACGTTTTCACAGAGAGCGTGAGCAAACGAACGTACGCTGGGGTTTGCGCAGGTGAAGCGCCGCAGCTTCAGACACCTGCCTGCGCAGACCGAGGTCTGTCAAACAAAGCAGCCAAGCAGAAACACCGCTCTCCCACATTCTTTCTGGAGAAGTCAGAGCTACAGAAACAGGTTTGAAAACTACTCGAGAGACGGGACGCGCAGCACATCAAAGGAGCAGGGGCCACTGCTGTGGACGTGCGGGACCAGAGGTACGGAGCAGCTGAAAGACTTTGCCAGGCACAAGAGCTGGCAGCGACGCAGGACCAGTGCAGCAGAGCCAGTTACGTTAGTCCCTCACTCTGCGGAAACGTGTTTTAAAGGTAACCCACGTGCTCCTGCTCCGGCCTGGCAGCTGCCAGCGCGCTGCCTGCCACAAGGAACTCCACACGCCTCGCTCCACGCCGCAGGTCAGAAGAAGTTTTGCTGCCTGCACCCACTTTTGGCCATATTCTAGTGCCCACGAGTCCCAGCAGTGTTTCGGTTCCGCCGTAGAGGACAGCGTGCCTCGTGCTTTATAGGATAAGGGGGGGAAGGAGTGTAAAAGTGGCGGCTTTGCTTGAAATACTGCAGAGTGACATTCGCAAACACACCTCGATGGCGTTACAGGAGCAGGGGCCCGGGGGCTGCTGGAGGAGCCACATCTCGACGGCCTCCCCACCAGTCCGGGGGCCGAGGCGCTCCGGCTGTCGCCAGTGGACCCCCGAGCTGCTATTTCCCCCTCTCTCCAGCTGGGACACTTTACAGGGAGTCATAAAGCTTACCCTGAAATGTTTTTGGATCCTGGGATAAAAGGTATCCTCACAGTTTCTCCTCGCTCTGTGAGCACATTGTTTTTACAAGAGGCTGTTCTGTGAAGTGCCTCTGTTGGGTGGGAGTTTCTGTAACCGACGGCGTGTGTTCTAGATACAACAGCAATAAATATTTCGGAAGTGCTGAAGGGGATGTTTACGGGCAGGCGGGTTTTCATAATTTCTTTGACACCGAGTAAAAACCTGAAGTCTTTCACCTGCACGACGAATTAAATTTCAAATCCCTTCAGTCACCTTTCCATGCGCCACAAATAATGACAAATTGGGAATATTTTTAAGCAGAGATAAAACTCTGATAAAGAGACTTTCGGTGGACAGCAGGACAGAGAGAGGTGAGAAAGGAAATGTTAAAACAAACACAGTGCAAAGATAAATGGAGAGCTGTGCTCATCAGAGCATTCACGTGAAACCAAGCAGCAGACAGCGCGATAGCACTGACCAAGGAACACCTACTAATTGTACTCTGGCCTTCCACGGCGCTTCGTTTAGGGAATTAAAAGCACTTTATATCATTAACAGCACCTCGCTCTGACAAGGCCCCAAGGCATTGTGAACTTTTTGACACAGTTCTGTGTTTGCTCTTCCCAAACGTGCTCGCACCACCCGTGAGGGAGAAGAGACGCTGCGATGGAGCTGCCTTTCCCCCATGGGAAGGGAGGCGGCCCCTCCGTGCAGCCAAACTCGGGGCACACCGTTAAATCCCGTTTGCCCAGCAGACGGAGAAGCCAAAACGGCGACCTCCCTTCCCAAAGGGGAACCCACATCGCTGCGGCTCTCGGCCCCACGTGTCTCTCTCCTGAGCTGCAGCCCAAGTTACCGTCAGGAGCGATGACTTAAAAAGAAGCGTCGAAGTCAGCAACAATTAGTGTGGGACACGCCACTACCGAGGCTGTTCGCAACGCCGGGAAGACCTCATAGAACCGGTCCAGTTAGCTCTTTAAACGGCTGTCACCCTTCTCGAGGGGCGGCTAACCACCATTAGATACAGCGAAAATAAAAAAAGTAACAGCAAAAAGGAAATAACGCGGCAGGGGAGGGGGGCCCCCAAAGTTTTAGGGGTGAACAATGCCTGCCCCCGCCCCGCGGC